ACCCTGGCTCTTGAACCTCAGCTGAGCAACCACAGGCCAGTGTTTTCCTGTTCCTCATTCTCTCTCTCCCTCCCACTGGGGTGGACTACACAGACCTCTGGGTCAGGGAGGCGTTTGGTGAAGGGCAGGGGGAAGGGAGGAGAGTAGGTTGGGAAAGGGCCCGGGTGGCCTGGAGGTGAGAATGTACAGTGTTTAGGACAGGCTGGCAGGGACAGAGGACAGATTTGAACAGCTGCGGAGGTACTGCCAGCCAAGTTGGGGTGGACGTGGCAGATGAGATGTCCAAACGATAGCTGGGCAGGCATCTCAAGTAGCTGCCCTGGTGGACAATGGATGCCAAACCCGGCCCCAGGTCCAGCTGCCACCCTGAGCTGGGAATTAAAAGCTGTCCTGAACAGCAGCACCCTGCTGTCCTAATGGAGGGGCCCTGCTTGTGCTCTCCCTACCTGGGGCTTCCAGCCTGGCTGCCTCAGAGTGTAGTTTCAGAGGGGCTCTGGCTGGGGAGCAGAAAGATACAGTCATTCTGTAGGACAACAGTGAACCCTTCCAGGTCATAGCAGGAGCACCTGGGCCCAACCAAGCAGTCCCAGGGAAGTACTGACTGCTAGGACATCCCGCTCTGTAATCCGTGACAAAGACCAAGAGCTACTGAGAAGGCCGAGAGTTTTGAAGGGTGTTTATTAGTCACAGCACATCTAATTCCGCGTGAGACGGTGTGCCTGTGTGTGGGTGCCCATGTGGCTTGCACAAAGACTGAGGCTAGCTACAGTGTGACGTGTTGGACTTCCTTCTCAACCAGTGAAAGGGCCTGGAGGACTACCCAGGGCAGCAACAAGGAAGCCCGTGGTTAATGGGTGTTAGGAGGGCGGGGCAGGGCGAACAGTCACCCTGAGGGGCGGGGGAGCTCCTGGAGCGATAGGCCAAAGTTGTTAACAGGGCAAGGGCAAGGAAAAACAATTTTCAAGATAGGGAAATGTGTCAGGGCGTGAACAAGGCAAGGGACAAGGGAGAAGACAGTGAAGGAGGCATGGCATTGTCGGATTCCCGCTGAAGTCCCTGGGTCTGTGTGCTGGCATTGTCGGATTCCCGCTGAAGTCCCTGGGTCTGTGTGCTGATGGTTGAGGAGAAATGATCGCAGCATAGAGGCAAGCGCACCTGTACCTGCTGCTTCTGCAGTCTCAGGGGTGAACATCAGCTTAGATGAAGGCGAGTGGGGGACGGTAGGGACAGACCAGGAGGAAATCCACGCTGGGAACAGAGTAGCAAAGTACTAAGGACAGATGTGGCACCTGGGGCATGCACCTGGGGCAGACCCTGAGGAGCGCATAGGTAGGTGAGATGGAACCTGAAGAGACAGAAGCCCTCAGTGCATGTTACCTGCTTTGTCACTTGTGTTCCTGGGGGTGGCTATTCCTGGGGGAAACGTGTAGAGCAGCCCCAGAGGCCCTGACATCCTTCTCCCTCCCCAGAAGCCCCTGCAGCAGCTATGGAATGCCATCTTGCTTGTGGCTATGCTCTTGTGCACAGGCCTTGTGGTTCAGGCCCAGCGGCAGGCATCAAGACAAAACCAGCAGGATCCTGGAGGCCAGGTGGGAGCCAGATTGTGGAAGCCCTCATGCCCACAGCCCTTGGGCCTGCAAGACTGTGGCCATCCTTTTCCCACAGGGGGATTTGTTCAAACGCCGTGTGGTTCGGAGACTGGCATCCCTCAAGACCCGGCGCTGCCGGCTGAGCAGAGCAGCACACAGCCTTCCAGAGCCTGGCACTGAGACTTGTGCTGTGTGTCTAGATGACTTCTGTAATAAGCAGGTTAGTGCCTAGGCAAAGTCAGCCACCAGTTGACCCGTGGCATCCCTGTTCCTGCTCCCAAGACCCTCCACCCTCCAACCAGGACCTTCTTCCAGTCCTCATCATGGTAACTAAGAGCATACCCGGGGAAGACCCAGGAGTGCTCAGTACATAGCCCAGGTGAAGGGCACAGATCTGGCCCCCATCTAGAGCCTGTGCCCCTCCCCTACCCTGTAGTGGCTTCGGGTACTGCCCTGCAAGCATGAGTTCCATCGAGACTGTGTGGACCCCTGGCTGATGCTACAGCAGACCTGCCCACTGTGCAAGTTCAATGTCCTGGGTGAGCATCAGGGGCGGGAGGGGGGGACTCCTGGGCTAACCCCCAAGCCCTACCTGATCCTTCTCTCTCTGTTCTTCCTTCTCCCCTTCAGGGAACCACTACTCAGATGACTAACTGCCCAAGTGGAGAGTCTGCACTTTGAGATGGACTCTTCCCAGCCTCCACTACAGGATAGTGGGTTGGATAGACCAGCTAGCCCTGTGGGCAAAGTCAAGGCCCCACCATACCCATGATGGGTAGGAGGGACTCACAGCCCCGCGCTGAAGACACAGAGCCAGGACCCAACAGGCAAGGAGAAATATTAGAGCCCTTCTCTGCAACCCTGGGATATCTGTGTCTGCCCTTATAGGCAGCTCCCAGGACTTTGGGGAAAGAAAACATGGCCACTACATCTGTCTCCAGCTTCTGGGGCTTCTGTGATTGAATTGTATGCTATTTATTGGGGGATAGATTGAGGGAAAAGATTTGTGGCCATGGGACCCACCGGCATGGCCCCATCTTTGAGGCTATTGCCTAGTCAAATCAAAGGTATAATGTTCAAATGAGCCTCCTCCACTACCTGCTGCCTGTCCAGCCAGATGACTCCAGTCTGGCTGGGATCAGAGGCCTTAGAAACCATCTAGTGCTGTATTTCTTGGTTGAGCTAAATGTCACTGACCAGGATACTTGAAGCCACAGAATATATGTGGTGCATCTGCTAAGGGCGTCATTTAAAAAAACATTTGGGTAGGGAAGTTTTAATAGTAAAATAAACATGGAATATATTTTAACATAAGACATAAAATCTGTGCAGATGTTTTAAGATGTTTAGCAAGAGATGGGTATGTGGTAGCATATGCCAATAATCTCAGAAACCTGAAGGTAGAAGCAGGAAGATTAAGAGTTCAAGGCCAGTGGGCCTCTTAGTGGTGTACCCCTTTAGTCCCAGTACTGGGGAGGCAGAGGCAGGCAAATGAATCTCTGTGAGTTCAAGGCCAGCCTGGTCTACAGAGTGAGTTCCAAGACAACAAAGATACACAGAGAAAACCTGTCACAAAAAATTAAATAAATAAAATAAAAACGAAAATAAATAAGTAAATAAATAAATTAAAACAAAACAAAACAAAAGTTCAAGGCTGAACTGGGCTACTAAGGAAACCAGAGGATCATGAGTTCAAAATCAACCTGGGCTATACAGTGAGTTTGATATCAGCCTGGGCTCCTCCCCAAAACAACCAAACAAAATAGCGGTCACCTTGGCTTCTCTTGCTTGGAGCAGGGAGAACTCCTACAGTCCTCAAAGCCTCATACCCTTCTGCTGCATGAACACACCTTGCGTGATCTTTAGGACACTGACTCTAAGAAGATTATGTTAAGTGACCTTTAGGTGAGACCTTCAGGCAAAGACACTGGTAGAGCACTTACTTGCCTGAAATGCACAAGGTCCTGAATCCAATTCCCAACACTAACAGGAACAAGAAAATGAGAAAAGCTTCTGGTCAGCATAAGTCCATGGAAAGCAGGAGCAAGTCAGAGACGGAGGGGAATCCGTGTGGGAGACACATTCTCTGCTGCGTGCGTTCTCTCAACAGGGTCTAGATGTATCCCTTGCTGTCCTGAAGCTTGCTTGCTATATAGACCAGGCTGGCCTCAAACTCAGAGATCCGCCTGCCTCTGCCTCCTGAGTGCTGGGATTACAGACGTGTACCATCACCACCTGGCTCTGCTGCCTTCTTGAAGATGGGTGGTGCAGATAAGAGGCCAGGCAAGAGCAGCATGCCTATGGGGACCTTAGCTCCACAGCCTAAGCCTAAGATGAAGCTCTGCCCCAGCCGGGAGCTTGTAGGACTCTTCTGCAGAGCCATCTAAAGGAGACAAACAACCTGGACTTCTGGACTTTTTGCTTGTTTCTTGTTGTCCTCTGTCTGTCTATCCGTCTGTCTGAGTCAGGTCCTCCCTATATAGCATAACCTAGCCTCAAACTCTCAATCCTCCTGTTTGGGAAGGGTCTGGCTTACCAACTGGCAGAAGTGGCAGCTAAGAAATGGATGTTGAGTCAGTGGAAGCCTGGAATGCCCAGCAGTAACAGCCTCTCCCCAGTACAATGGCTCAGAGCATCCAGTCTCCTCCAGATACCCTGGGCTGTTAAGAGGCAGAGTTGAGAGACCTGACAATGCCAGCTTTACTGCGCATGTGGCTCCCATTGACCCTTCACCGCAAACTAAGGCACTCAACCTGATGGCCTCCCCACCACATAATAAATAATGCCACCCAGAAGGCTAGGAGAGTGTGACCTGAGAAGTTCTCGCTAAGAATTTAGAGTCTGTCTTTCACAAACAAGGTGACTTGAGGCAGACTGATGGCTCGCTTTAGAGAAATGACCACTCTGTCAGTATGGTTGGTACATCCTTGCTCAGTCTTGTGTCATCCTGAACTGGTGAGCCCCAAAGTCTATGCTCATCAAACCATGTCTGGCTAAGGTATCCAAAGGCCTGGTCTTCCCTCTGGTGGCTTTGTGAGGCTCTGACTTAAGAGGGACCTCTCAGTTGTCCCTAAAGGCAGCGAGCTCCTTGGTGAGCTGCTGGATACACCAGATACAAAGCCAAGGTGGAAGGCGAAGGCACTGTTCCCTGCCTGCCTTGATGGGGCAGAGGCAAAGTCCTGGTGTCTGGTTCCTTGTTCCAGATGTGCCCTCATATCCCGAGCCCTACCCTGAGTACTGCTCAGTGACCCAGGGTTACTCCTCAGCCCTTTCTGCGGCTCAGGTGCTGCCCTGTGCATACTCTCCCCACAGTGCCTGTCAGGATGGAGACAAAAAGTTCACACTCCATGGCAGGCCTCTATTGGCCGACCTGCCTGGTGGGATCACAGAAGCTTTTGTCCAACAAGGAGGGAAGGTCTGTTCCCCCAGCTCAGCCACGCTGAGGCCAAGATCACTGTGGGCAGATGGCTGGGGCTTTTATTCCATGGGGGTTGCTAGCCGCCTGCCCTCCAGCCCTACCCCTGCTTCAGGTTAGGTGGGTCGTTCCTGGGGTTGGTATGTAGAGCCAGCTTGACCTCGGTTTGGTGAGAGTTTCCTCCTGAGCCTGGCCAAGGCCCGGATGGGGTTCTGGGTGCAGGTGGCTGAATGGGTTCTGTCTTCCAAAGAGGACTTGCTGGGCCAGCTGCAGGGCTGCCTAGAGGGGGATGCTCGGGACCCTCCTGGATGGTTCCTGCTTGTACTGCTCATCCTGCTGCCAGGAGACTGCCGTCTGCCCATGGGCCTGAGGGAAGACCAGAACACAAAAATTCTCTGTGGTCAAGGGGACCCCACCACTTATCTGCTCGACCTCAAGGAAAGCCTACTCACCCTGGAGATGTATTCTGTGCTTGGGCTGGGGGTACCTCTCCCTGGGTGTCCTTGTAGGGAGGGGACCAGAGCTGGCCCTGTGGGATCATCTGCAAAGAAGGTCAAGCTTAGAAGGACCCAGGAGTCCCTCCCTACACTACAGTGTCAGAGGATGGTTAGGGAGGCAGAATCCTAACCAAACCCTCAAGTTCTCTTCACTAAGAGATGGGGTTTGCAAAACCATCCAAGGGCCTCAGCTGCAGACCCTTGGGCAGGCAATGCATACTGACTGTTGAAGTAAAGGAATGAGGGACTGTAGTGGGATGTGAGCTAGAAGGCCCTGTCTTTCACAGCCTCATACCTTTTGACATACGGAAGAAGTTTTGCAAATGTGGCCTAAAGCCACATGCCACGAGGCAGGCAGTCTCAAGTACTGCCTGGTAAGGACCCCTTCCTGTAGTGATACTTCATTTGCATTTTAATAAATAAAGCTGCCTGAAGATTAGAGAGTAAAACAGCCTACTGGTCAGCCTGTGGTGACACACACCTTTAATCTCATTCTGAGATTCCTGGAGGCAGGATTGCCATTTCAGATTGAGGTAGAGGTAAGAGCCAGTGGCTGGCTGTTTTGCTTTTCTGACCTTCAGGTTGAACCCCAATTATCCCTGGGTTTTTATTAATCATGCTATACCTTCCAAATATCCAGCCCCCCTCAAAGGCTCACTTTGAGGCTTCCCTGTTGGGCCACCTCTTGGATTTTGGTCAGCATTGATTGGAGCCGCCTGTTCTCTTCCTGTAGGACCTGGATGCGGATGCCATTGGCTTGCACTTGTCTCTCCATGTCATGGGTGACATTGCCGGAGCCTGCAAAGACATATTTGGGGCCTTACATCACTGGGCCTGCCTCTTGTGTCCAGTTGCACAGGGCAGAGGGTGGTCAGGGGTAGCACCCAGGCATCCCATCATATTCCTTCAGAGGCTTTTGTTCCCTTCCTGTTGCCACCTACTGTGAAAGGTGATGTTACATTTTAGAATTTGAGAGCGGGTTGAGTTTTACGACTTGGAGGTTTGAATCTTGTTCAGGACCACTTGTCTTTGACCTGTCAGAGCTACTATAGGCTGTGCAAAGATCCACTGGGATTTGAGTCCCAGGAAGTCATGATATATGTTCTTCCTTAACTGTGTGTGGTAGATGGATGACAACTCCCAGTCCTATACACCTGAGCAGTCGCTGCCCATGCTAGAGCTCAGTTTCCTGGTTTATCAGAAGGTTGTCAGACTGGAGAGAAGGCTCAGTGAAGAGTGCTAGGTATTTTTCCAGAGGACTGGGGTTCAATCCCCAGCACCCACATAGTAGCTCACATCTACCTAATTCCAGTTCCAGAGGATCTACCCTGTCTTCTGGCCTTCAGGCACCAGTGCATAGACATATAGATAGCCAAAATAGCCATACACAAAAAATAATTAAAAAAACATTTATAGGGCTAGTAAGATGGTTCAGCAAGGAAAGATATCGAAACCAAGCCTGACCACCTGAGTTTGGTCCCTGGACCCCTGGACCCATATGGCAAAATAAGAGAACCAACTTCTACATCTGTCTTCTGACCACACTTGTGCCATGGCAGATGCGTGCGCACACACACACACACACACACACACACACACACACTAAATGTGCAAAAAAAAAGTTTTGGTTTTTAACAAGAGAGTCCAGGTTAGCCCCATGAGGCAGTTTGGGCAGCAAGGATCTGACACAGAGCGCTCAGGAGTGCTAACTCACTGTGACAGCTGAGCCACAGTGGTTCTCCTGATAGCTCTGGGGAGGGATCCATCCATCTTGGCCTGAGAAGTCTAGAAAAGCTGGTGGGAGAGCAGAGATTGCCTGGCAGGATCCTATACCAGAGTAGATGCCCTATGTTCCTAACCATGGGGTCCAAGACACTAAACAGCTGGAGATATGTCCTAGAAAGATGGTCGGTCCTATGTTGTATGACACCAGGAAAGGTAACCTGGGGAAGCTTAGGCAGGACTGGCATGTGCTGTGAAGGACGTGCTAAGGGAAGACATGCCTGAATTCCAGTAGGGCAGTTGTTCTCAGCCTGTGGGTTGTGACTCCTCTGGAAGCCAAGTGACCCTTTCACAGGAGCTGCATAGAGATCTCTTTCATACCAGATATTCACGTTATAATTCATAACAATAGGACTTCAGTTATGAAGTAGCAGTGGAAATTATATTACCACAGCATGAGGAACTGTATTAAAGGGTCACAGCATCAGGAAGGTTGAGGACCACTGCACTAGGGTGAGAGGTACAGTCACTTTGCCGTTGAGTTTTGTGTGTTGTCACAGAGAAGTGAACAACACGAGACACTTGTGGGTCATGGTGTCTCTGGAACCACCCAGCTCACCCTCCTGCCCCCAGTCTCCTCTTGCTTAGGGTGAGAGTGGTAGCCGATCACATCCAGGCAAGCCTATGCCCAGCCAGGCCCCACCCTGCCCTCAGCAGTACCCTAGACCCCTACTTTGGATCTGGGCCTCTGTGGGCTGGTGCAGGTCTGGGAAGGCCACCAGCAGTCGCTCCCGCTCCTTTAGTTCCTTTAACTCCAGTTGCAGCTCCGAGACAGTCAGCTGCAGGTCTGTAGTTACCTGCTCCAGCTCCTGTTTCTCCCGCTGCAGGCTCTGCAGTAGTTCCTGGGGCAAAAAAGAGCTTAGCCCTGGCTCTAAGCTCCCTTGGAGACACATAGGCTCAGGGATACACAACAGGTTAGAGGCTCCTCGGATAAGAGGGCTGCCCTCTCTCTCACCCTACCCCACTGCACCTGCTGTGCCTGTAGCTGGCACTGCCCCTGTTCCCTGTCGCTCTGGAGGCTCTGCAGCTGCTCCTCCAACTCAGCCCGCTGGGCCTCAGCCTCATCCAGACTTCCCCGCAGCTCTTCCCGCTCCTGGTCCAGACTGTCCAGCTGCTGGAGCAGAGTCCTCTGCTTGGCCTGCAGGGACTGAATGGGAATGAATAGGCAGAGCGGATAAAAGGACCCTGGGGCCCAACTAGCCATCTGGGACTAAGGAAGCTGCAGTGTGGTATCTATGATCCTCTGTTCTATGTTTGGATGTAGAAGTCAGCACACAGATGTTCAACTGCTGAAGGAAGGCAGCAGGCAGATGCACATTTGATCAGGACAACACCAAACCCATTGTTGAGAAAGCAGTTGGATGACCCCTTCTTTCCACTCACTCAAAAAGGATTCTGGGAAACAAGTTTTGTTTCTTTTCATCAAGTCTCCAGTGTCATATTTTCCTGTGTCACTGAATATCACTCCCCTCCCCAAACAAACAAACGAACGAACAAAACAGCCAGGCAGTGGTGGCACAAGCCTTTAATCCCAGCACTTGGGAGGCAGAGGCAGGCAGATCTCTGAGTTTGAGGCCAGCCTGGTCTACAAAGTGAGTTTCAGGACAGCCGGGGCTACCCAGAGAAACCCTGTCTTGAACCCCTACCCCCTGCCAAAACAAAAGAAACCCAAATATCCTGGTACACACTGAATATATATAGAAAGACCAGGCTCTACCTCTTGGTAGCTGTGTGCCTTGGGGAAACTTGTTTAACTTCACCACGCCTCAGTTTCTCCATTCATAAAATAGGGCACAACAGAGTATCCACCTCCTCCCATTGTGGCAGGGAATAGGGATAAGTGGGCTGCAGAGCCTGAAGCCCTCACCTCCTGATGACGGACCATGCTGTCGACTCGGGCCTTCTCTTTGTCCAGCTCTGTGCTGGCCCAGCGGATCTGCTGCCCAGCCCCATCCAGCCGCCCTGCCAGCAGCTGCACTTGCTCCTCCAGCTGCTGCACTTGCCTCTCAGCTGCTGCCCTCCGCTCACCTTCCTCCTCCAGCTGTTGGGTCTTTGCCACTGCAGGATTGAGAGAACAGATACACAAGGGACAGGGGAAGGGAGCTCTGGGTGAGTCTCTGACTGGGACTAAGAAGAGGTCACAGATCACAGCACGGGGCTCTGGACCACATGAAGTGGGTCTGGAATACAGAAGGCCATTTCTACCCACTGAAATTGAGACTCCAGCCTGGACCATCACCATCAGTCTAGAGTCGGAACCATTCTCCTTATGGTTCCAACTCTCTGCCCTAGAAGCTTTGGATGGAAACGGAGGTACATGCCCAGCTATACAATGAGTTGGAGATGTGGATGGGGTCATGCAAAGGGACTTCTTACCCATGGCCTGCGTGGACTTCTGCTGCTGCTTCAGGTCTCCCTCCAGTTTGGTCACCTTTGCCTTTAGGTCACACGTTTCTGTGGCAGCCAAGAGAAAGGCCTTTCAGTGGATCACTTGGGCCTGTGGCCTTTAAGCCCAGTGAACCCTGTAGAGCAGAGGCAACCATCCAGTGTGCAAGGGCTGCTTGAATTGCCAAGGTGGGGCTGGGGTAATCCTAGGCGGCCTTGGGCCCTGGCATGCTCCATTGGCTAGCTGCTGCATTACCTATGCCTCTCTGGACCCAGTGATCTGCATGGAGGCAGTGGAGAGGCTCAGTAAGCACAGTGACTTCTTGCCCTAAGCCCTCAGTTGGTAACAGTGGACAACGGTACCTTCCGTATGTCCAAGAGCTTTTGCCAAAGCCAAGAGGCTGCTCTGTTGAGGCAGAAGTGCTGGGGATAGGGGGGAGCTTCCTGCAGGTACGTTAGTGACCATGAGGAGTAAATGTTAGATGAACACCCCAGCCCTCTCCCCTTCTGAGGCTCAGGTGCTACTCAAGCCTTCAGGTATCCCCTGCTCACAGGGTTGCCAATGGATGTCTACACCTTTCTTGCTGCTTTCCTTTCCTGGGTTTCTTCCGTGCAGACTACTGGGATTCGCCCTGCTCTCTGACAGGGAGGAGGAATGATTGTCCTAAGGTTATGGCAGTGTCTGGTCTCTGGGGAGTAGACCTGTGATTAGCTGTTGCCTGTCACGCTCGCACTCGGCCAGGCTCCGCTCAGCCTCCTCCGTCTGCCGCTGCCGTTCTTCTTTCTCCTGCCGCAGAGCCTGCTCCAGTTTGCCCACTTGCTTCCTCAGCCCGTCCTTCTGGCCCTCAGCCTCTTCCAGCTGGGCCCTGAGGGGCCCAACAAGTTGGGTGAGGGCCCTCACGTGCTTATTGAGACAAGTCAGATCTTTACTCTGTTCTGCTGCCCAGTGGCCTATGGTGGCAGCTGGCAGTGGTTTGAGCCCCATGCTGTCCTGCACCAGCTTCTGGAACTGGCCCAAGGACGAAGGCAAGTTCTGGCTCTGACACAGGCTGATGACCACCTTGCCCACCTCCCACAAGCTGCCCTGGACACTGGTGCAAGCATCACAGGGCACCAAGGCTGTCTCGATGGTCTGGGAGTGAACGCTCTTGGTTTTCTCGGTGGTCCCAGCTGTGCCCCGCAAGGAGACTCTGACAGGGATGCTTTGCAGCCCTTGGCAGATCAAGGGCAAGCCTGGCACTGGGGAAGGAGGCTTGATGAATTTGGCAGTCATGCATTCAGGGCTCCTGGCTGGTTCACCCTTAGCCGTGGGCTTGCTGATGGGAATCTCCCCTTGGTTTGCTCTTTTCTGGGATCAGGAAAAGAAAGGGAAGGCAGGTGAGAGAAATGGACATGGGTGGTAACCAGTCCCCTGGAGATGTTCAATGACAACCTTGCCCTGTGCTCAGACCTTCAGATGTTAAGTGACACCCACATAAATCACAGAGAACCGTCTCCCTTTTCTCTCTGACTCAAACCAGCACTGGCCTCTTTTCTGCTCTCCCTGCTCTAATCCCAGGCTTTACATGGTTAAATATGCATGGAACTGGGAGGGTAATGGTGGCAGTTACAGCCAATTCTTTTTTAAAAAATGATTTATTCCTTATGTTTACAGTGTTCTGTCTGCATATATTCCTGCACGCCAGAAGAAGGCATCAGATCTCATTATAGATGGCTGTGAGCCACCATGTGGTTGCTGGGAATTGAACTCAGCACCTCTGGAAGAGCAGTCAGTGCTCTTAACCTCTGAGCCATCTCTCCAGACTTCCTGGGCTCTTGCTTGCTCTCATGCCACTGTAACCACTCTGTTTTAGACTTCTGTCCCTTCCTCAGGGGGCAACTGTGAGGATTAAAGGACAACCTGTTAGAAAACCTGTTGTGTAGATGAACAAACTGAGGTTCAGTGTGTAAACAGTAAAGCCAGGGAGCCAGACTTGACCCCAAGGTCTGCTTTCTTCACTGCCAAGGCCATGGGACTTGAATGGGGGGGCTCTAGAGTTTGAGTGCTCCAGCTGGGCAGTGGCGAGCCAGCAAAGGATGCAGCGGGGGCAGTGCCATGTTAAGAAGCTTGGAACAGCATGTGAGGGCGACGACAGTTAGGGGCCGAGATGACCCACCTGGGGCACTGCCTGCTGGTACAGCATGCCCAGCCTCAGCAGGTTGTTCCAGAAGCGCCGTACTGTGAGGCCCACAGACATGCATGGCCCTGCAACTCGGGCAGGAGGCATCATCTGATCCAAACTGAGGTTTTCCAGGTAGCTGGCACAGCTCTGAAGCAGCAGCAGGAGTCTGTGGGCAAAATTGCTGGGTGGGCTAAGGCCAATGCTGGTCTAATAGTCTTCATACAACTGGGGGCTTTGAGCTCTTGGGAATTGACCTGGACATTAAGGACCTAGAGAGAGTCCATGTGAGTTTTGTGCTCAAACCAGGGTCCACCTCTGAGCTGGTGCTACAAAGCTTCCTGGATGGAAGTACCTTCTGCTTCATGGTTCCCCACTTGACTAAGGAGCTGAAGAAAGGCAGCGTGGCTCAGAAAGTCCTGGGTAAGTAGTGCCTCACTTTTACAAATGAAACCCCTAAATAGCAAGAACATCCCAAAGTCACAGGGTAAGCAGGGCAGGGCAAGAGCATGTACGCATTTTCCTGGTTCCAGTCAGAGTTGCCTCCTCTAGGTTGAGCAGCCTCTGTGACAACTGAGATGGGGTACAGACAGCTAACCTCCAAGTTCAAGTTTAGAGTCAAGCTAATGCTAGGGAAAGAGGGTGTTAGAAAGTGTGCCTAGGCATGGCCAAGATTTACCTTAAAGGTAGAATTGTATGTTTGCAACACACAGCTGGAAGGTAAGTGAACTCATCTTGTTACAGGAGGTAGGGGTAGCAGGAGGCCCCAAGGCCTTGAGGAGGAGGTACCTACTGCCTCCAGGCCCACCCTCTGGGCCATGTGGACAATAACACTGGGGAATTAGGACCCAGCAGGGAATTTAGAAGAACAGTCTGTGTTCTCAGACAGCCACCTGTGGTGGGAGATGCTGTGATACATGTAGCCTTAGTCATGGTCCCATCATTGACATGTCCTGAGCGTCTCAAAATGTCACACTGTTGGCTAGAGGCCATGGCCTCCACTCTAGGGTTCCCAGGCTAAGCTTAGATTCAGTTGTCTCTGGCAGGAGTTACTTTTATACCCAGGAGTCACTTATACACAAAGGAAGCTAGTACTAACCCAGAAGTAGACAATGCTCAGCTGGGGTGTGGGTGTGGGGAGGTATGTCAGCAACAGCTTTACAGGAGAGGGGTGAGTGATAGGGCCCTGGTGGATAAAGAGGTGTTCTGTGAGAGCAGGAAGGGGTTGGCAGAACCGGCCTTGCTGCCTGCCCTGGGAAAGGAAGTGCTCTGCACTCACAGCTGTCCAGCCCTGCGGAGGGTGCAAACATGGCTTTCACACTCAGGCCTCCTCCAGGCCTCTCAGGAGTATCCTGCCTTCTGTATCCAGGCAGGTCCCTCCTCAGTATTTCTGATGCCCATTGGTCCCCGCAGCTTTACTGCATGGGCAGTTTTTGAGTGGTTCCCAGGAGGAAATTTTAATGATGGTGTAGAGGTGGTGGGATGACAGGGGAGCACCTGGCCTTTTCCTAGCAGGGCCAAGGGTGGGGAAAAACATCCCCCACCCCGTTTCTGGCCTTGTGAAGCACAGAGGGAACACAGCCCACAAAACGCCAGAAGCTGGGATGAAACTGCTACGCAGCAGCTATAGTGTTCCTGCCACAGAAACCTGAGGGGACAGCGGGCAGCGCTCTGGTATTGTGGGGACCAACAGCAGAGGGTGGAGTGGGGATAAAGACAGAGCTTCCTGAGGTAGACAGGACAGGGCAGCAGAGTACAGCACAAAATAAAAGGTGGTGTTGCTGAAGTTGGGCTGTGATGGCACACGCCATTAATCTCAGCACTCAGGAGGCAGAGGCAGGCAGATCTCTGAGTTCGAGGCCAGCCTGGTCTACAGTGCGAGTTCCAGGCAGCTAGGGCTGTTACACAGAGAAACAAACAATAAAAAAGGAAGGAAGGAAGGAAGGAAGGAAGGAAGGAAGGAAGAAAGAAAGAAAGAAAGAAAGAAAGAAACAAAGGGTCCTGAGTTGTGGCCCGACCTGCATATTCACTTCACAGTTGATGGATGTTACCCATGTTGTCAGCACCTCTAGAAAGGGCTCCTGCAGCTGCTACTGTACAAGGAGCAGGTTTCGGCATCTTTAGATGTCCAGATTTGATCCAGGCCTCACCTGTCAATGACCAGCTCCAGCAGCACAGCATGGGACAACTGTGTGAACTCAGGGTCACCTGGCACGTGGTCATAGTGCTCCAGAAGGGCCACCATGTCAAGGTCACAGGCCACACGGTCCGGGAACTTCCAGGACGGGAAGCGCACAGGCCCAGCGCGGGAGAACACATCCACAATGGTGCCCTGTAGGTCGGTAAGGTCCTTGCGCAGACTGTCCATGCAGGCCTGGCCGCCTAGCAGGTGTGCCATCCCCACAGCTCCTGGGGCTGAAAGAGGAACCACAGTCAGCCAAAGTGATGTGGCTATTGCCAGGAGAACCTTATAAACCCCCTGGCCTGTCTGGGTGTTTCAAATCCAAAATCCACCTCTGATTTTAGGGAGAAATCCTGAGTGACAGGCCTTTTAGACCCTGGCTCTTCATGTCTTAGCCAGCCTCACCTAGCCTCACTTCTACCTATCCAGTCCCATGGCGACCCTGCCTCCAGAGAATCTGTGTGCCCCAGGCCCCCTTGCTATATAGGAATGAGTCTTCTACCTGTAGGGAAGAGAGGAAGCCCCGAATAAGTGAAGTACTGAATGAATGGATGCTATTGATATGGGCACAGACTATCAAGGACTCTAGAGTCTCGGCCCAGAGGGAAATGGCAAAGCCTCCCTTGCAGCACTAAGCATGGATGTTGACAGTATATTCAGACTATTCCCACCATAGCTTTCTCCCCATAGATGTTTACAGCCTGAGTATTGCCCCCTACTGAGACTGTGCCTACCTAGCTAAACTTGTCCTCTATGTCTACCGATAGACATAGACCCAGTCTCCCTGTGTATTTATAATGACCTTGCCCCCGTGTCCAACCCCAACTTCGCTTTGTGTCTGTCTTGGCATCACACTGTCTCTGCTCCTGGGCAGGTCCAAGTCTGGAGCCATGCTAGATGTGACACAGCCAAAACACATCATAGCTTCAGCACGACAGGGAATGCTAGGATCCACCCCACCCTACCATCACTGCATCCCTGTGAACAAGTGGACCATGCCCTTTGAGCTCATTACGGTATGACCTGGTCACCAAGCCTGAGACCTGGGCCCCATAGTGCTGGGAAACTCAGAGGCCCAAGGTGATGCTGGGGTCTGAAGTAGACTCCAGATTTCCCAGAGCTCTAGTTCTGTCCTTACCTCTCACAGATGTTTGCCCATGAAGCTGGAGTGACTGACTATGTCTACCTCTCACACTAGGCTCTGAGGTCTGGGGCTTGTGCAGATGCCTTGCTTTTTGGCTCTTGACTTCCTGGTTCAGGTGCAGGGCTGGCCGCAAGCGGCCCTCCCATCCCTGGGAATGGATGTACAAGAGAGTGAGTGAGCACACAGTCAGGAGGGCTTTCTCCACCAGAGATTGGGTGGGAGCTACCTGCAAAAAGAAGAGTCCAGGCTGGAGGAAGGAGAGTGGTGTAGGAGGTCCTTCTTTCTATGTGTTGCTTGTATTGGTTAATGAATAAAGAAACTGCCTTGGCCTGATAGGGGAGAATTTAGGTAGGCGGAGAAGACAGAACTGAATGCTGGGAGGAAGAAAGCAGAGAGAGAGAGAGAGAGAGAGAGAGAGAGAGAGAGCCGCCATGGAGCTGCCAGAGTCAGACATGCTGAATCTCTCTTGGTAAGCCACTGCCACATGGCCATATACCGATTAATAGAAATGGGTTAACTCAAGATGTGAGAGTTAGCCAATAAGAGGCTGGAACTAATGGGCCAAGCAGTGATTTAATTAATACAGTTTCTGTGTGGTTATTTCAGGGCTGGGCAGCTGGGACAAACAAGCAGCCCCTCTTTGCAACAGGGATGAGAAAAAAATATTGGGGAACATACAAACCTTCAGCCTGATCACAGTAGTGCCACTGCCCCAAATCTATCCTCTTTATATAGAAAAGAGAAAACTGGAACCTAGAGAAACCACTCAGGCAGCAAGAATTTTCCATCTACCCTCTTTCTTCCATCCTTAGGCCATACTGCTTCTAGAACAGCCATGTCCAAAAGAAGTTTAATGCAAGGAATAGGGCTTGGAAACAGAAAATGGCAGAAGCACAGAGGCCACCTTTCCTGTCCCCTCACTCTTCCCTGAAAAGGTGGTAAATGCAGGAACACTGGCTCCCCTCCCTTCTCACTGAAGACCTTGTATGCCTGGCATTCTGCGGGAAATCTGCTTGGCGAGGAGTACCACAGGAGAGTGCAAAGAAAAATCTGAAGTCAGTGAGATGGCTCAGCCAGGTGAAACACTTGTCACACAAGGTGGACAACCCGAGTTCGATCCTCGGAACTTATGTGGTACAAGGAGAACATCAATTCACAAAAGTTGTCCTTTGACCTCCACACAGGCATTGTGACACATGCGTGTATGTATACATACATCAACACATAATAGTAAACAAGTACATTGTTTTTCGTTTTTTTTTTTAAGATAGGGTCTCACTATGTAGCTTTAGCTGGTCTGGAACTTGCCATATAGACTAGGCTGGCCTCACACTCAGAAATCCACCTGCCTCTGCCTCCCAAGTGATAGGATTAAAAGTATGCATTTGTGGCCCTGTTTTTTTCTTTTCTTTCTTTCCTTTCTTCTTTCCTTCCTTTCTTCCTTTCTTCCTTTCTTCCTTTCTTCCTTTCTTCCTTTCTTTCTTTCTTGTTTTTCAAGACAGGGTTTCTTTGTAGCTTTGGAGCCTGTCCTGGAACTAGCTTTTGTAGACCAGGCTGGTCTCGAACTCACAGAGATCCACCTGTCTCTGCCTCTCGAGTGCTGGGGTTAAAGGCATGTGCCACCACCGCCTGGTCCTTCCTTTCTTCTTTAAATATCTGTCTTACTAGGGATCCAGTCATGAACCTTGTGTAAGTTAAAATATTACTTTCCCTCTCTTAAACCATATTAAAAAAAGAAAGCAGAAGAGATGGCCCTCTTGCAGAGGACCCAGGTTCAGTTCTCAGCACCCACAAGCATCTATGGGTACCTCCAGTTCTAGAGGATGTGATGCCCTCTTTTGGGTCTTCAGGCATGCACACATGTAGTACCTGGACATGCCTGCAGGCAAAACACCTATACACATAAATATAAGTAAATCTTTTAAATAAGGAGTGAAAAGAGAAAATTTAATTTTATTTAGCCTAATATACTCAAGACATTATTTCAACATAAACTCAATATGAAATTAGGATTTTTGTTTATTATTTTCTAATTTTTTGAGACAGGTTCTCACCATGTAGCCATGGCTATCCTGAAACTCACTGCACAGACCAGGCTGACCTCAAACTCACAGAAATATGCCTGCATCTGCCCCATACTCCCCCGAGGGCTGGGAATAAAGCTGTGTGTCACCATACTTGGCTTTTTACTTATTTTTAATTTGTTTATTTGTAAGTGTAAGTGTGACTGATTTTTGTGGATGCCCATGGAGTCTGGTGGTGTTGGATCCCATGGAGCTGACGGTACAGGCACGTCAGCCAACCGACATGAGTGCTGGGAAGTGAACTGGGGGCTCCTGCAAGAGCAATACATGGTCTCAATTTCTGAGTCATCTCTACTGCCTGGGTAATATTTTTTTTTTTAGGACATGCTTGTGCTGGGCAAGGTGGTCCAAGTCTTTAATCCCAGCCCTTGGGAGGCAGAGACAGGCAGATATCTGTGAGTTCAAGGTTAATGTGGTCTACAAAGTGAGTTCCAGGACAGCCAGGACTATTACACAGAGAAGCCCTGTCCTGAAAAACATAAACAGCAACAACAACAAAAACAAAACAAAAAGCACAGAGAGAAAGAAGGAAAGAAGGCAGTCTTGTATATATCTCTGCTGGCCTTGACTTTGAGCAGGGTGACGTTCAAGTTCTGAACCCCAAGCCTCTACTTCCCAAGTGCTCTCCAGACAGGTGTGTATCACCAGCCCCTACAAGTGATGTTGGAGAGTGAGCTCAGGATTTTGTGAATGCTAGGAAAACATTCTACTGATTGAGCTACACCCCAAACCCTTAAACATTTTTTAAATTTATTAAGCCACAAAGTCCAGTGCTTATTTGACCCCTGTGGGTCAAATCTCTATTTGTACCAGAGAGTAGTATTTCAAAAGCATTTTAAAAATTTTTTTGGTTTTTGAGACAATGTCTGTCTACATAGCCCCAACTGTCCAGGAACTAGGTTAGCTCCAAACTCACAGATATCCACCTGTTTCCATCTCTCAAGTACTGGGATTAAAGGTGATCCTACAACACTTGGTCCTATTTCAAATACTTAAAGCCACATGGGGCTAGTGGTTACTGTGTTGTGCAGTACATGTGTAGAGAGTAAAATGCTATGTGTTTATCAACAATGGGATTGAAAATCTACCTGCTAGGGTCAGGCAGGGTTTGGTAACACAGGCCTGTAACCCTAGCTCTTAGGAGGCTAAGGCAGGAGGAATGCAAGTTCAAGGACATCCATGGCTATAAAGTGAAACTTGGGAGGACGGGAGAGAGATCCTTCAGAAACCACTAACTCCCTGCAAGGAGTTTTGCCCATAATACTCACATACAAACAAATACATTTGACTCATATCTCCCATGTGTTGACTTGGCAACTGCCTCTGGAGAGACAGTGCAGCCCAAGAGATTTTATGTCCCCAAGTGAAGTGGAGACAACAAGGAAAACAACAACATGAGGTAACCCTGGATTTCTTTCCTGGAAAGGACATGAAGGAAATAAAGTGAGTAAGAAGTTCCAGTCTGGGGAGAAGCATATTCAAGAGACAAAGCACTGAGTGCAAAAAAATCAATCTGTTTACTGGGGCCATCTTGGATACCAATTCCCATGAGATTCTGGGTCAAAACAGAAAGAATATTCAAAGTTAAGCAGACACTACAGCTTGGTAGTACAGCACTTGCTTAACATGTTTGAAGCCCTGGGCAAACCATCAGCACCGCAAATAAGTATGCACACAGAATATCCAAGGTTACGCTCTATAGATTCTTGTAGAAATAGAGCTTATGCAGATTTATAGTGTGCTTGTGAAGAACATATGGCATGGGCTTTGTCATTCCTAGGTCTTGAGAGAACGATAAACATGAAGCTACCAGCTTTGATCTGCACCACAGAGGTTATGGCTCTACGAGAACCAACATTGTCATTACAGGGGTAGCAGCTCATAATGGAATTTGAAGTTTTCTGACTCCCAGGGAAGAAGGGCAGGAGCCTTTCTCTCCATTCAACCTTCAGTCCTCCCTCTCTTAAACAACTAACACCGTGGTTGAAGACCATGCTTATTTCTCAGTCAGACTGAAGCCCCCTGAGGTAAATCACTACTAAGAAAGTATTTTTGAAACTCTAAAACCACGTACATGGCCGTTGCCAATCTCTGACCTGAGTTAGCTATTGTCTGGACCCCTTGGGACATGAGCGTGACACAGTAAAGACATAGTAATAAACATCAGATTAGTAGACAAAACTGGTCTGAGAATGGATTCCCCCCCCCCCCCATACAGAATTTTTTTCCCTCGTTAGTATTGATTCTTACTTCGTGGTCTTCATCAGCAAATAGCTTGCTCTAAGGAGCAAATAATGCATTACCTGTAGTGTTCGACACAGGATCTAGCTTGGAGTAAATAAATGTCCAACTGATCCTAACTGTCCCTATTCTGCATTAACAACAATGAAATAACCAGCTACCGAGTGGATGGAGAGAGACATTGGGCGTTTTGTTGCAGCCCCATTTCACTGGTGAAGCGAGGCAGGATGAGCACAGAACCCTCTTTCGGTATTCGGGAATTGGGAGAGGAGAGGGAATGGGGACCTAGAAGATTTCAAGAGAGAAAAGACGGTGATTGACGTCTCCGGGAAGCGAGAAGCATGATCTGCAGATCGATAGCGGTGGGAGTAAGGAGAACAGCTGTGATTGGAGGAGGTCGGGATTGAGGGCGGGGCTATGGAAGTTAAGGGTGCACCTTAGAAAAGAAGCCAGTGGGAAGAGACCCCAGGGAATTGCGGGCTTGGGCTCTGTAAGGAGGGATCCGGAGGAGGTGGTGCTGAATAGAAAAAAGAGACTAAAGGTGTAGTTAGGTGGGACCCTACGGCAACAGGTCTAATGGGAGGAAAATTCTTCAAAGTGACAGGCCAAGCAGGATGGAAGACTGGAGTGGGGGGCTTGGAAGGTGCGGTCGCAGGGAGCGAGGAAGCGGCCAGGGCCGCGAGGGGAGTTCAGCTCACCTGTCTCCGGCGTCGCAGCCTCAGCTCTGTGTCTGGCCGGCTCACAGAACTTCCCCCAGAGCACCTGCGGCTCCTGGGATCCCTCGAAACCCTTAGCAGCGCGCCCAGACCGCTGCCATGGCAACGGCGTAGCGCGCCGCCGTACCCGCGGGGCGGGGTGGGAAGTGCGCCACGGCCGGGGGGCGGGGCCGGAAGTGTGTTCACTGGCTTCCGCGGCTTTCCGCTGGGTCGTCGCCATCTTGCCATTGCGTTGTAGCCTTCGTGTGGAGAGCTTAACCTTACCGCCGTACCGGTTGTCACCCTGAGGCGGACTGGCAGCTCTGAGCGTCGCAGTCATGCCGGCCGGACCCGTGCAGGCGGTGCCTCCGCCGCCGCCAGTTGCTACTGAGCCCAAACAGGTACCGCGCCCCATGCTCCTCAGCCCGCAGCCTCGGTGTAGGCCTCGTCCCTCCCCTCCCGCGCGGGCGCTACGGCACTCCTGCTGGAAGCTCAGGCAGCCCTGCAGGACGTGGAGGGACTGCAAGTCCCAGGAGTCAACGCGCTGCGTTGCCTTCTGGTCCCAAAAAGCTCCCTAGAACCGGAATTCTCAAAGAAGCTTGCGGACTTGCAGCCTACGCTTCGCTTCACCTGGGGGCTTATTAGAATCACGAAGCCTCCACTCTACACCTTATTTTTAACCCGATCCCAAGGTGTTTCGTTCAGATGTGAGAAGCATTGGGCCTGTCGGTCGCTCAGCCTTTGTCCAGTAATCGCTAATTTCCTAGATTGCCTTACGTCTTTCACGTTTTTCCCAAACACCTACGAGGTGCTTTTCCTAAGCCGGACAAGGTTCCAGTCTTCATCATTGGAGAACGGATGAGGCGTAACCCCTGCCTTAAGAGAGAGCCCAGACTAGTGAAAGTACAGGCATGCATAAACACTCAATGTTTATTTTCTGTGTCGGTGTAAATAATAAAATGTCAGGCAGCCTTTAAAAGCTCTCAAGGCTGGGCACATGACACACGTCAGTATTCCCGGCATTTGTAAGTCTGAGACAGGAGGATCATGAACTGAAGGCTAGCTTGGACTACAGGTTGAGACCCAAAAGCTAACAGACTGCTGAGGCGGAAGTATGTGGGTAAATACTTGCAGTTAGGTTGAATACCAATAAGCCATGAATTTAACCAGCACTGCTTGCTGGAGCAGAGGGGAAATCAATGTGAGGAAAGTCCTCAGGAGTGAGAGGCAAGCAGTGCTGACTAAATACAATCCCAAATATGACAAATGAGGCCCATGTCCTTTCTCCAAACGTTTACGTATTTGTGTGCTTGTGTATTTTCATCGACACTGGGGAATAACAGACAAGGTGATACCAAATAATAGTTACAAAAGCATCACGGTAGAGTCAGATGCTCCCTCTTTTCTCAAAGGTACATGAGCAAGTGTGACTCAAGTGCAAATTTGGGATAATGATGGTAGGATTTGGACCTGTCTATGAAGACAGCGAGAGATAGTGTAGGCTGGATAGTGACATTTGTGTTTCAGAAATGTAGACTTACAGTGCTGTAAAGAGAGGGAAGAGAAACAGTTAACGGTATCCCAAAGACACTGAGGGTCTGAGGGATGGGCAAATATCTGTTCCAGAATGGCTGTTGGCATAGGCTCTCCAGCCAAAGTGATGTGCTAGAATCCTGATTCTGTCTGGGGGCCAGGCACAAGTTTGTTGTTCCTGTTGTCTGGAGTTTGGGAGTAAGAACACTTCAAGCTTGTCATCAGGATCCTCAGTGCCTGGGGTGTACTTTGTTTTTGATGTATTAGGGAGGCTCAGGAGGCCTGGAAAACCATTCGCAGTTTGGAGAGGAAAGTACCCAGGAGTCTGTTGGGTCTAAAGTTTGGTGGTATTCAAGACTTACCTGGGAGATCGATGTAGGCAGGATTTTTCAGCCGAAAGTGGGGAAAGGAAATGTAGAACATAGTTCTCAAGAGTGTCTGACTGAAGACAGTGAGAATACTGAGAAGAAATTATAAACCATATGTTTATAGCAGTGATTTTTGGCCTTCCTAATGCTGCAGCCCTTTAATGTAGGTCTTTGTGTTATGACTCCAAACCGTGAAGTCATTTTTGTTGCTACTTCATAACTGCATTTTGCCACTCTTATTAATGTAAATATCTGATATGTAGGATGGTCTTAGACAACTCCTGTGAAAGAAAGGAACGTTCAACTCCCAAAGGATTCGAGTTCCACAGGTTGAGAACTGCTGGTTTAGAGGTTTCCAGTGTATAGGCTAAGAGTTAAAATGTAGAAGACAGAAGACAAGTCTCCCGCAGCTGCCAAGAATATTTGAATTGAGCAATCAGGAAGCAGAGACAGGCAGATCTCTGTGAGTTTGAGGCCAGCTTGGTTTACAAAGTGAGTTCCAGAACAATCAGGGCTGCACAGAGAAACCCTGTCTCAAAAACCAAATAAATGAATGAATGAATGAATGAATGAATGAATGAATGAAATACTTGAAGTAAATAAGAACTAAATAGGAGATGAAATAGAAACTTGGAATGTTCAGCTGCCAGAGGAAGAACAAGGGGAAGGCAGCAGCCCAAAGGAACATGAGGATGGAGGGAATCTCAGTTTTTTTAGATGAGAGCTCAACTCTTAACTGAGAGGAAGAAGAAGCTGCTGGATAAAACATTAAAGAACCGTTGGTGTCGAATTCCATTGAAACTCCACAAACCATTTATGTATTTAACAGTGGCTAGGTTTATGGAATTGGTGGATAAAGAAAATGCACAATTAAGACAGAAATTGATCTATCAGCTAGATTTTTTTCTTTTCTCTCCTTTATTTCTGTTTATGTTAAGTATAGAACCTAGGACCTCATGCAGGGTAAACACATTAAACTACTGAGCTGCTCTTTGGCAGACAGTCATTAAGTATTCTATGCAAGACACAATACTAGTTTCAGGGCTAAAGACATGACCTTTTGGATTCTGAAGTTTGGTTTCTTAGATGTGGTCAACATCCATGAATCTGAATCACATGGACATTGGGTAAAAATGCAGATTTAGAGGCTAAGAATATAATCAGTTCCTTGTTTAGCATGTGTAAGGCTCCAAGTTTCAGCCCTAAGTCAGCAAATAAGCAAAAAAAAAAAAAAAATTGTGTATCTGATTACACCAGTCTGCCTGTCTAAAGGGGAGCCAGAAAGCCATTATTTTTTCCTAGCTCTTAGGAATGGCCGCATAAATATATATAAGAAGTCTGCAGGACAAAGACTATAGTCAGCCGTGTCTTAGAGAAATACTAGAAGCTGGTTTATGATAGGCTAAGCCAAACCAGGAATTTGAACATCTTTTCTTTTGTTTTAACAGCCAGTTGAAGAAGAAGCAACATCAAAGGAGGAATCCACCCCTTCCAAGCCAGTGGTCGGGATTATTTACCCTCCTCCAGAGGTCAGGAATATCGTTGACAAGACTGCCAGTTTTGTGGCCAGGTAACAGCTGCTTCTGCACAGTGGGTTGGGGAAAATAATAACAAAGGGTTTTTGAGTCAGCACAAAAGCAGCATGTTTTTTTGTTTTTATGTTTTTCTTTTTCGAGACTCTGGCTTAGGCTTGTTAGTTCCTCCAAAACCACAGTAGGGTATTAAGGTGGGCAATAAGCAGGACTGGTGTCTTTGATGTGCCCCAGCAGTAACCACAGTGAGAGCCATACCCAACTATATAGTCACCAGGAGTTTTAGCTTCCAAAACAAGCCTGTGGGAATTCCTGGCCCTGATGATGTGTATGCTGTGTTTGGGCTGCTGACCAGAGGAGATAGAAGGCAGAGTTGATCATTCTCCTTGTGTAAGGAGCCTTACATGATCACTTGCAGGTGATAGGACTGAGTAAAGCTCAGTTATGTTCTAAACACTTAGTTAATCTTTCTGGGCAGGGTGGAAATTGATCAGGCTTTTCCCCAACCTCTTCATGCTACATCCTTAGATGTAATCTTCTTTAGGCCCACTTTGACTCCAAAGGCCACATCCCCTGGCTTAGGGCATTTGTAGAGTATTTTTTTTTTTTTGGCAACCCACAGATATATCCAGTTTACAGATGTTTTGTTTGTCCTTAGAATCTTTCTTAAAAATTCCTATTACCACACTTAAAAATGAAGTGATTTCACAGTCTGTCTGGATTTCAAACTTTTCTTGAACTATTCTACTTCTTATGTGAGCACTACTTGGCCCTGAACAGTGTCCAGAGGCATGTGCTTGTTAGGCCCACATTCATAGTCACTCCGCTGAGGCAACATCTCTGTCACCTTGTATCATTTAATAGGTGTTTCTTTCTCAACTTCCTACTCAAGTAAAACATCAAAAGAGATTGTTTGACATCTTTCGCAGTGTCCACTCCATGAGAGATTATGTCACTAACTTAGATTTTTCACCTAAAAACTGCCCTAAGATTGGGACATTGGGAATTAATTATGTTTAGTTGGCTAATGATTCATAGCAACATTAATGCCTTTGCCGTTTTTGGTGCAATCTTACTGTCAGGCCAGCTGTTGTCACCTTTTCCTGTTTCCTTCTACTCTTAGCATCCTTTTTTTGGATATGGTAATACTAGCACAAATACTATTATGTCTTGATTTTCTTTGCATGCTAAATTGTAAACATTTCCTACATTACTCTATGATATCCCTCATGCTGGATACTTGGATACTTTCTATAAAGAGGAATGCAGGGTGTTGAGACTTTTTTTTTTTTTTAAGGTTTGTTATTATCTATACAGTGTTCTTCCTGCATGTACACCTGCATGCCAGAAGAGGGCACCAGATCTTATTACAGATGGTTGTGAGCCACCATGTGGTTGCTGGCAATTGAACTCAGGACCTTTGGAAGAGCAGGCAATGCTCTTAACCACTGAGCCATCTCTCCAGCCCTGACACTTTGTTTTCTTGAGATTGTTTCCACTGTTTCCACTTGGTCAGTGAAACTGTAAGAAAAGTTAGAACATTGTCTTTTCTTCTTAGATGGTTTCTTTAGAAGAAAATCCCATGTGAAACATTGGTGGCTAAGAGAGCATTAAAAGAAAAAATGTTAAGGGCTGGGGAGATGGCTCAGTTCAGTAAAGTGCCTGTCATGAAAGTACAAGAACTTGAGTTTGTATTTCTGGCACCCATGTAAAAGCAAGATTTAGCAATACGTACTTCTGGTAACCTCAGTACTGGATAATGGAGACTGGCAGATTCCTGGAGCTTGCTGGCCTGGAAGTCTATCAAATCATTGTG